GGGTTGGCTTTTAACGGCAGAGGAAAGGCTAGTGCTAATGACATCAGTCAGCATCGTGGAGCTCTCATGGGTGATGCTCCATCTACAGCCTCCATGCCTTTGAAACAAGCTAATCCCAACCCCTCCCCCGCATGCCTGGAATGCACCCCCTCCCCACCTCTCTATCAGAATCCCCACCTTGGAGTCCCACTCCGGCCATCTTTCCCATGAGGCCTTTTCTCACCCTCCCATTTGCTGTTGCCTCCAGCCCCATCCCAAATTCACTTTGTATATAGATTCTATTCCTAGTGTCATTGCTCTGCGTCTGGAGAATCCTGTTATCTAGGGGCTGACCATTTGAATTTGGAGGATTTGCTCCAAACGCTGACTTTTCCACCTCACCAGCAGCCAGGTTAGAAGAAGCTAGTATAGTTTGCAAAATCTGTGCAATTTGATGGTCACTATTTGGAAATAGTTATCTAGAGACCAAACCCTTCATTTTGCAGATAAGGAAACTGAGGCCCATAGAAGGACTTTCCTGGGGTCACAGAGGCAGAAAGTGGCAGAGCTGGGACTTGAACCCAGGTCCCCTGACTCTATACAGTGAGCTCTTTCCATTCCACCAAAGTGCTCACCATGTTGATTCCCCACCCCACCCCCCTTTCCCATTCCCAATAAAATGTAAGCTCGCTGAGGACAATGAGATTAATTGCTTTGGGTTTTTGTCTGTATCTCCCCAATACCGGGCAGCCTTCCACACACGTAACACAACCGGTGCTTACTAAATGCTTATTGAATGAAGGATGAAGCGTTTTTCTCTCTCCCCGGAGGCTGAATACCCGTCCTTTTGGGAATCCTGGAGAACAATACTTTACTAGGGAGCCCCAGCTACGGGGAGCTTTCTGAGCAGTGACAAGATAAGACATTGTCATTTCCTGCGTCCTGGGCTTCAGAATTAAGATTTACAACTGCTTGGCCTCTAGAAATCCGGTGAGAATTTGGGAAACCTGGGAGGACAGCTTCTTCCCTCCTAGAGGCAGTTTATGTTAGGAAGGAGAGGCAGGGAAAGGGTTTAAGAGGCTTTTACCAGGAGAAATGTGAATGATGGCACCCCGGTGCAAGCTTCTGCAGGTGTCCTAAGGGTGGAACACAATGTCTCTCCCAGCATTTATTCATTTGTTCGGTAAGCGTTTATGAAGTGCTGAGTTCAAGCCTGGCCTCTGACCCATCCGTCTTGGCTATGTGACCCGAGCAGGTGATTTCGGTCTCTCAGGGCTCTAATTATGTTTCTCTAAGTTACACTGGGAGAGGGCGTTTCCTCACTGGCAGATCCCCTACACCAATGAAAACTCAGCTCCACACAAAAAGACATCTCCCAGGAGGTCACAAAGCCAAAGAATGAAGCAGGGCTTGTTCTCAGAGAGTGTAAAAGTGTTGAAAGTAGAGCATTGCTGCAGGTAAATAAATAGAAGGTAATTCGAGGGAGGAGAGAGAATTGGCCTGGGGACAGGATGGGCTGGGGGCAGGCCTCCCACCAGGGTCCCTTCCACACACACGCAGTCTTCCAGCTACAGTGGCCCATTGGCTGCTCTTTAAGCTCCATCTGCCATGGCTGTGCCTTGGTGGGGGCTGTCAGCCGTGCCCGGAATATCTCCTCCTCACCGCTACCTTTTAGTTTCTCGCAGTGACTTGGGTCAGATCCCACCTTCTGCAAGAAGCCTTTCTTGGTCCCCTCGGGCCCTGGCCGTTGATGCCCCTGAAATCACCTTCAGTCTCCTCTGGGGACATCTTATTGGACCTCATATTTACACGGTGTCTCCCACTTTAGAATGTGGGCCCCTCACGGGCCGGAGCTGCTTTTTGTTTGCCCGGCTGGAAGCTCCATCAGGGAACTGCATACAGGAGGAGCTTAATGTGTGTGACCCGAACAAAGATCTCTCGATTCCAGGGCTATTTCCTCTCAATTAAATTCAACAAATGATTTATTAAATGCCTGTTACGTGCCAGGCACTGGGAGTACAAAGACAGCGATCAAAATTGCCCCTGTCCTCAGCGAGCTTACGTGGGCCCGACATATACACAAGTATATGCAAAATGCAACATAAAATATTATTCACACATATTGTTGTATTTATTTACAAACATGTGTATATATTATTCATATAAAATTTTATATTTATATACTACATAAATTTGTAATAGATTTCATATACATTACATACACTATATTACAGTTATTATATTATAGAATATAATATGGCAATATATAATACAGTATAAATGTATTCCATATTATATAATGTAACATATTGTGTATTTTATACATTTATAATGTAAATACATTTGTTTATATAATTTATGTTTATATGATATGTTTTATATAAATTCTATATTATATAAAATATATTTTATACATAAATATGATTCTATGAAATATATTATTCACGGAAATTATATTGTTATATGCTATATAATGTAACACACAGTATAATTATATGTATTTCCATATCCTATTATATCTTTTATATATAATGTTTCTATATTACATAAAGAACATTTCTATGCTATTTTAATTATTTACTATACTATAGAATATACTATATGTTCTATACTATACCTTACATATAGAATGTTTCTATATTACATAAAATAGTATGTGCAATTATGCCATTAAATATGTTTCTATGTGTAATATAGAATGTTGACTTATAATATTGAATATTGAATTTCTGTGTGTAATATAGGGCATATTACATATAGAAACATATTTAATTATATAATTGTGTATTTTTATAGTTTTATTTATAATGTATATTATATATGAAATATATCTATATAGATTGTTTAGATAATATATCTATATAATATAAAAATAATTATGTATAGTTGAATATAATATACAAGCATCATATGCATATACAATAGTATAAAATAATTTAGAGAGTATATATCCTCACATAATTGGGCTATAGTAAGTAGCTCAGCAGGGTTTTGAACTCAGGATCTGGGGCTTCAAGCTCTTTTGACTGCCCAAGGAGATGTAGGGGTCCTAGGCCTCTTGCCCTCAGACTCATTTTTCACATGAGTGTCTTAACACAGCAGAAACCAGCCAGCCCTTCCCTGGGAGTTCCTCGTACTCCTGTGACATTCTGGACTCTAGAATTGACGTTTTGATTGTCTAGAAAACCCCTATGAAATATCCAGGAGCCAGAGAGCGTTAAATGCTCATACAAGGCATTCCTGTTGCTGCCTGCCCTCCTGTGTGGCCTGCACAGCTCCCCTCCCCTCTCGGGGCTTGGTGAGTTCTGGCATCGTGTCCAGCTCCAGATCGTAGGGTCTTTCCTTTTCCAAATACTGATCTCGTCCATCCAGCCTGCTGGCATCCGCGTGCTGGGTAGATGTGCCATTGACAGACATTCAACAGCCCATGGCCCTACAATCTTCCAAGAACATGCCCCAGTGATAGGTGGTGCCACGTCCTGCTCGGACACCGCATCCAATCCTCTAGCCTGCTCGGGTGTTCTCTGACCCCTGAGCGCCTCTGCGTGGGGGCCTTCCAGTGTGGAAACTCCTTCCAGCCTTGTGGAAAGGGGGACTCTGTATCATGTAACATTAGAACATCGCTGCTCTCCAGTGAACTGTCCAAGGTCCCTGGGTCACACAGCCAACACATGCTAGAGGCAATGCTTGAACCTGGCTCTTCCCAAATAGAAAGAGGGCTCTCTAGGCATTAAGCCACACTGCCTCTCATGGTGTGAATACAGAGGCATAAACACTGCCTGAGCATCCCCTGCGTTGTGCAGAAGGCAATGAAAGAGGGAAGCCCTTCTTCTATTTGTGGTTCAGTCATTTTTCAGTCGTGTCTGACTCTTCATGACCCCATTTAGGGTTTTCTTGGCAGAGGTACTGCCGTGGTTCGTTATTTCCTTCTCCAGCTCATTTTACAGATGAGGAAACTAAGGCAAATAGTGTTACGTGTGACTTGCCCAAGGTCACACAGCTAGTTAGGGTCTGAGGCCAGATTTGAACTCAGCTTATTCGGTGATCCCTGTCTGGAGTCTGAGGGTTTAGAGGCCCTGGAATAAGCTGATGTACTGTTTGAATGGAATTCATACAGAGATGCAGTCAACTTGGTCACAGGAACATATTCAAAATTGGAAGAAACAGTAGATTGAGGACTGTTACAGTGGGAAGTCAAGCAAGAAGTATTTATTGAGCCCCTACTGTATCCATGTGCTAAGAGACGGTCTGGTCCAACGCCCTCATTTCACTAAGGAAGAGATTTCAGCCCAAGGAGAGCTGAAATGAGCTAGAAGGAGACTTTGAGGTCATGCAGTCCGACACCTTTATTTTACAGATGAGGAAACTGAGGCTCAGAGAGGGGAAAGTGACAACCAGAGAGGGAAAGAAATTTACTGTATCTTATAGATGAGGAAACTGAGGCCAGGTCAAAGAGCTTAGCTCTGGTCACCTCCGGTAAGGAGCAGAGGGGATGCTAACTCAGGCTGCAGAAATGTCCTTCCCGGAGGGTAGTCATGTGTTACAGGATGACCCTTCTATGTGATTCTTTGAGTCGAAAATCCCTGATCCTAGTATTTTGACTAAGCTTGTTTTCCTGGGTATGGAACTACCAGCTCTTTCCTTCAGCCTTCCTGGGGTTCTAGTGGAAAGTCTTTCTCAAGGGCTTCCCCACAGCAGGAGGTTCCACACCATGTGGAAATGTTTAAAGTCCCTCATCGGCTGAGTGCGTGCGGCCATCAGTTATGATGAATCACAAAACATCCGAAGAATTTTAGAGGCAGATACTGCCTAAAAACAACATCACCCCAACAGGAAACTCGGTTGAAAATGCCTGGAATGTTAGCCCACCATTAATAGGCAGCCTTCCCTTCCGTCCCTTTTTTTAATGTATTTATTTTCATTTGCAAAGCAAGCAAGCAAGCACTGGCTTCCCTGAACCCAAGAGCGCTGGTCGATGCTTTTCTTTCTAATTCTTTTTTTTTTCTCCTTTCCGCTGCCAGAACTCCAGCGCCGATCATCGGGTGCGCCTGGACCTCGGCCTCTGGGACAAGTTCAGTGAGCTGGCCACGAAGTGCATTATCAAAATCGTGGAGTTTGCTAAAAGGCTGCCGGGCTTCACGAGTTTGACCATCGCGGATCAGATCACCCTCTTGAAAGCAGCCTGTCTGGACATCTTGGTAGGTGCTTTCTTGGGCCTTGTTTGGAGGAGAGGGGATGGGGAGGGGGAGCCCATCCTGGGGACCCCCTGAGTTTGGGTTCCTGCTGCTGTCTCCCCTCAAGGACTGTGGCTTCCCAGAAGCAGCCACCCCATGCTCAGGCAGGGCTGGGTAACTACACTGAAAGATGATCAGGGTGTGGTGATAGAAACAAGGAATGAAAACAAGAAGCCGGAGTTTGTCTAGTCTTTCTGTGTGCCTAGAAAGAGAGAGAGTGCAGTGGCAGGTCCTTTATATGTACAGAATTTCAGGTTATTGTGTCATCAGTGACTCGCCCTTCTGGTGAAGTGACCTCTACCCCTGGGATGGGTACTGCACCCCTTGCCCTCCCCACCTCCAAGGGCCACCTTGCAGACAACGCCCACCGTGCCCACTAGAGGGGAGGGCCTGGACGCCGACACTGCCCAGGCTGAGCTCTGGTGCTGAGAGCTTTTCTCGGGTCAGCTCCTTTCTCATTGCCATTTGGGATACCCAAAGGCCCCAAGACTGTAGCCAGTGCCCTGTTCATTTCCCTCAAAAGCCCAAGCTCTGGGATGCTCTGATGGACCCCTTTGATGACCCTTCTCAGAATACTGTCTTTAAATGCACAAAATAAAATACAACTTAAGATTCCCAAAGAAACCAATTACACTGAAATATAATTATCAAAATGTTTTTAAAACAAGGTCACAAACTTCAGGTTATGGTCCCTGTCCTGGCTTTGCCAGCCTCAGAGTGGGGGAAGTGGAGAGGCACTTAGGGACTTGCCCTCTTTGCCCCACTTGGGTTTGCTCCTGGGAGGTCTCTGCCCAGCACTGCTGGTGCCCTTTTTACCCATAGTCCCTGCTCCCTGTTCACCTAATGAAGGTGCGGCACCTCTTGCCAGGTTTATTCTGCATCGCTGACCTTGTGTCCATCACTCTCTGAGGACTAGACAAACCAAGCTATGATTTGTTGCATTTGCTGATTTTGAAGGTGTAAATGCTCCCACAGAAAATTTAACAATCTGCCCCCCAGTGCAAGTTTGATCTGGTTCCAGCAGACCCCAGCCTCTGGTCCTACAACAGTGTCATTAAAAAGATGGTCCTTGGGGCAGCTAGGTGGTGCAGTGGATAGAGCACCAGCCCTGGAGTCTGGAGGACCTGAGTTCAAATCCAGCCTCAGACACATAACACTCACTAGCTGTGTGACCCTGGGCAAGTCACTTAACCCCATTGCCTAGCCAAAACAAAAACCAACCAACAAACAAAAAAAGATGGTCCTTAATTTCAGGGAGAATTTTAGGGTCATTGAAAGAGCTTTGTGATCTCCCAGTCCAGTCTCTTCTCCCACTCTTAAATCGGGGGCTCACCTTGTTGATTTTTAGTGTCTGAAAAGATGAGCCCTGTTTTATGTGATAATTTGGGCACTGGGAATATTTTTGTCTCCTTGGTTTTTCCCATGTGGATGGTGAGACCAACCTGTTCCATTATCATTATTAATACTTAGAATCCTAATGATAATGATAGTTGACGATCAGACCACGTTTTCCTCTTCACAAAAATCCTTTCCCCTCTTTTTTTCATTTGATCCTCACAAATACCCAAATTCCTCACCAGTAAAATCAGGGTCCTGAAGCCCAGAAATGACTTGCCCAGGACCACACATGTAATAAATGACTGAATCTAAGCCTTCTGATTTTAAATCCCATTCTCCTGCAGCCACACCATAACCACTGCAAGGAGGGGTGCTTGAGATCCTCAGGAAATGTTGTCTTAATTTGCAGCACAATGTGCACGAGGGGAGAGAGTATGAAGGGGAAGATCTCTGTGACACTGGCCTTAGGATTCGCCCTTCGGCTTCACACGAGTGCTGAGTGGGTGCCTGGTGCATAGAAGGTGCTTAACCAATGTTAATTGACTGACAGACTGACCAGCTTCAGAATCCCTTGCTGAGACACGGCTGCCCGTCCATAGCCAGGCCCACTCTGTCCCCAGCCCTTAGTGGCCGAGGCATGAACTCTGGGCAGAATTGTGGGGCCGGATCGAGGCTGCCTGAGCAGCTGACCCCTTTTATGCCAAGGAGTGCAACTTTCTACAGCTGTCCATTACTGAATACTACAGTGTTAGAATAATTGCGTGGCCCTAATCAAAGGACACAGTAGCCAAAGGGATTTTCCTAAAGCACAGATTTGTGTCACCTCCTCACTCCATAAACTCCAATGGTTCCCTATTACCTCCAGAATCAAATGAACTCTTCACACTGTGACCCTGGCCTACTGCTCCAGCCACATCATTGCCTTGTACACACTATGGCCCAGCCTCACTGGTCTTCCTGGTGTTCCTCATGCAACTTAGATCTCCTATCTCCACTCCTTTCCACTGGCCATCCTCCATGCCGGGAATGGTACTCCCTCTCCACCTTGACTCTTAGAATTCCCGGTTTCCTTCAAGAATTAGTTCAAGTACCACCTTCTGCATGAGGTATTTATTAAACACCTCCACTGTTCCAGGCATTGGGCAAGATGCTAGGGATGCTGTCCCCAGTGGATCAACTCAGTAGGGTCCCTCCACTGATGCAGCTCCCAGCCCATCCATGCCTACCCATCCTGTAGGCCTCTCATCTTCTTCCAAAAGTTCTTCCAAGGGCATCCACACAAGCAAGGACCTCCCTAACTTTGCCTTGCACTATAAAGGTACCCTTGGTTGTTGCTAAGGATGCAGGCAAAACTGGAGTCGTCCCTGTGCTCAAGAGGCTTACACGGCACTGAAAGAAACAACACACACACTTGGGCCTGATAGGATTCACAGAGCTCCAAGCACATGTGTCATTCTGATGAGCCCAGGAAGTACAGTGATTGGTGGCAACTGGAGCTTTTTCAGTAAGAGGTGTCATGTCCCCAGGAAGAAGGGGTCTGGGCATAGGAAGCGGTGGTCTAGAATGGCAGCGACCATGACGATCCAGTTCAGTGAACATTGATTAAGGCATTGGCAGCCATTCCAAGTCACTTTATGTATGATCTGTGATCTCTGCGTAGTCTTTTCATATATGGAAAATGGGGATTTGTTCTCAATCGCAGATAAGCTCAAAGTCCCATTATCCTCACATCCTCCTGGCTCTACTCTCCTTCCCTCCTTCCCATAAGCTCTAAACAGCTAAGGTATGTGTTTACCACTAGGTTAGGCTTTCTTTTGTGTGCAGATCACACTGTAACATGCTGTTGTCTACCATCTTGAATAACTTTCTCTGCTTCCACACCATCCCAGCCTCCATGTCATGCTGTGTCATCCTTTAAAGGAAAGAGGTGAGCCTCAGAGCATGACCTCCCCACATAAGCCTGTGAGTAACTCTCCAACCCTGGTGTTGAAACTGGTGAAGAAAACTCAGAAATCTGACCCTCGGTAGACCAGCAAGCCATGCAGCATTCTTGCAGACTCCTTGTAAAATGAATGTTATATATCTGTGTAACACATGTGTTGACTCATAGCCTGTGCATCATGTTAAAATATCTCCCCTTAGACATAGAGACCAGGACATCTAGAGATACATGGAAACAACCAGGCTTAGTTTCTGTGGCTCAGAAAACAAGTCCCTCATGGTTAAACTCCAGATTGAAAAGGCCAGACTGCTTCCTGTTCACCGACAGCCCTCTGCATTGCTCTTTTGATAGAGACAGGAATGAGATGCTCCTCTCTAATGCTGTTAGTATAGATCGCTTCTTTCCCTTGAGTTGTAAATTCAGGCAGGAGCTGAGTCTTCCTTGCCAGAGAGAATCATGTTGTAGCTTATAAGGCCCAGGAGTACATGAGGCTTTCTATTCCAACCAGGCAGTGGGGCGATGGCTGAAATTCAGATATTCAAGAAAGTGTTTTGGCAGACGACTCACTGGCCTTTTAGGAAAGCCGCTTGTTTCCCCAATACTAGACGTATTTGAAAGTATCTCAGATGTGGAGGAAACCTATGCCTGAAAAAGCTTCCCCTTCTTAACCTTCCACGTGAAAGAGGGTTACCCATCCTTCACTGGAAGCCGTCCCCCTGCACCTCCTATCTGCACCCTGTGAGAGGGTTAACATAGTCACCTTGCCGTGAGAAGGGACGGGGGAAGACATAACCAACTCCATTCCATTCGTCATTTGGTCAACAAGGAGACGAATTTGGAACTTGGTAGACCCTTGAAGGTCATTGAGGTCAACCCTATCATAGGGTCATAGGATCATTTAGGAGCGTAGAAGCCAGCTAGTGCAACACATTCATTTTACAGATGAGGAAACAGAGGCCCTGGAACATTGTACTTGCCCAAGATTGCACAGGTAATTTAGTGTTAAAGGCAGGATTTGAACCCGGATCTTGGGACCCTAGAACCAGTGCCCTTTCCGCAGGACCACCTTTCCTCCCATGTTTCTAAGAACCTTTTGGATAGATTCATAACACTGGACCAAGCATTTTGGGCTAGAAAGTAATTACTAGACATTGACACAGGGCCTGCCCCTGAAGACCTTCCAGTCTACTCTGTTCTGGTATGGTGGTGAGAACTTTGTGAATGATTTAGAGGTGTAATTGTGACTTCCTATTTTTCTTTTGGCCTGGACCCATCATTTCATCAGTTGAGAATTCCTGGCATGGAATCGATGCTCGTCAGTCACTCATATGTAACTTGCAGACTTAGCTCCTTGGGACACGGATAGGGGCGGGGGTCAGTGTTGTGCACAGTCTGTTAGGATAACTCGAACCCAGTCCTTCCCAACTCCAAGCCTGGCCTCCTATCAGCCACACCAGTATTGATTCACACTTGTGTGCAGATATGAAAAAACTCGACCTCTCTCCCTGTTTGATTGATACCTTACAAATCCAGCCTAGACTTTCTGGCGTATTTGTGAGATGAGAGACGACCTTGGCTTTGAACCTCAGCAGCGGTGTGACCCCCCACAAGGAATTTCACTTTTCTAGTCCTGAGTCTTTTTATGGGTAAGATGAGAGTAACAAACTACCATTTTAAAAGGCTT